TCCTACTTAACTTTCTACCGCACGACGATGCATAAATCGCGGAATAAAATGTTACTTCCTATTTAAGCCGATCGTACGCAAGGAAAGAGTTATCAATTGCCCGACATTGATAATCCGGTCTCCATATTTGGACTGAGTAGTACATACATCTACAGGCGATATTAATTGTGAGCAGTAAACATGGCATACATACTCGTGACTGTTGACACGGAAGATTATCGTATTTTCGTGCGCGATAAAACAGCACGCTGAATTATATTAGTGCACAATCTTGGCACGCGATTACACGGTACGATATACATACGATAGCTTCCTAGCATTACGCGTGTCACCTGCTTCGACACTTTCGTCCTTTCGACGTGTTCAAGGCTTACACGGTTATCAAACTTACAATTAGCGAAGATGCTATCGCAAACGATGTGACGGAAGAACCTTCGGCGGGCGAGCGGACGCGCGCGAGGAAAAGTCGAAACTGAACGGAAGGTACGCGGTTATTTTGCGTGTTCGTTGGCGCGTTTTGCTTTCCCCATTGTGGATCACTGGCACGTCCTCAAAACGACGATTCCCACAGTGGTGGAGGCGTCGCGACAGCTCCGCGATACGCACCCGACCGGGGAACGGCGTGTACGAGTTGGCTGGTGCAACGCGGAAGGGAACGGGAAGAAAAACAGCGGAAAAGGGAACACCGCTCGTAGCCGTCGAAGCCGAATTGGCCTGTGACTTTCTACGTTGAAAGCGTTTCACTTGTAAACGGAAAAAGGAGGACAGGACTGTAGAAAACCGATTTGCCAGAGAAATTCCGCGCTCCCGATACTTACACGTTTCGAAATCAACTGAATCGCGTAATACCGTTGTGGAAGCGTCGAGCGAAAAGTATATCGTGTTGCAAGGTGGACAAAGACGGCGCGGGGAATGAGCGACAGAGATAAAACCGTTTCCCGAAGAGGGAGACGGTTTTAACGAGTGGCCCGAGCGGGAAAGAGACGTCGCGGAAACAGATGAAATAATAGCAATAAAGCGAGGCGAAACGGTGCGAAAGAGATGACCGCGCTGCTGGTAGGGGAATCAATGAGCGTTACTCGCGCCATCGCTTTTGTCTCTCTCTCTCTCTCTCTCTCTCTCTTTGCCTTCGTCCTCGTCTCTCCCGTTGCATAGTTACACTCCGTACTGCACCGGGTTGCTCTCCCACCGTGGCGTACTATATATGTAGGCTCGTCCAACCCTCGAAGCGTGACCGTGACTGTGACTCTGATCAACCGGAGAGTATATATACACGTGTCCACCGTGTGTGTACGTTACATATTCCCTGTGCGCCCGTGTGCTCGTCTCCTCCCGAGGCCGTGTACCACGTGGAAATGCGCCACCATTCGTGTTGCCATAATTATTTCACGCGGCTCCGCATTGTCTAATCGCGTCTCCTCTCGGTCGGTCAACAAACGTTTAACTTTTTCAACGATCACTTAACGTCACTCGACCGAACAAGATTAATTGACAAACCCACCTAGTTAAATGGATTCAGAATTCTACGTAGCGGTCGATGTTGAAATAAATCTTGTGGACAAACCACGCGTCTTTTTATTCATTCCCCGCGTGTGTAGATATTAAATCTGAAACATCGTAGAGGCACTTATGCAAAATGCACTCTGAACCTAAGCGCATTCGCAATTGGCAGGGTCAGCCAAGTGGTTCAATGAGATACCGCGCCATTTCATTGATGTCGCTAACCTTATGGTGAATAAGCACCAGCCAATGTCATTCCTCTCCCAATTCAAATTTTAAATCATTTCTACGAACCCCTGCCGCGCGACGGAGGATCACATTTACATCTAATTGCCTCAAGCACCGCGAAGGCAATTTGGCTACCTTCAGTTTTTAATTGCTGAATGGTAATTTTAACGCGAAACGTCCTTAGAATCAGCAGACGGCTCGGGTCTATTAGACGACGTTCATTCAGCGTGTACTATTCTAAAATTGAATCTCTATTCATGTGATCATTACGTAGTACCGCTATTTTAAAGCCACAGATCGCTCCGACCTTCGTCCAGATAACCGTGCAAATCCAATACCACTTGGCATTCTTACCGCGCCGCTCGTCCAAAACTCTTTGTTGACCCGACGGATTCGTGTCAAGTTATAACCAATCGATTCGCCCGCGATCTTCATAGCTCCTCGTTATCGGAAATGTAAATTGATCTGGTCCTTCGTCTAATTTTATCCCAATACCGTGAGACTGCACGTATTTAAACTGCAACGAATATCTTCTTCCACCGACGACGTTAAATGTCACTGGTGCAACTTTAGAGCTCGTTTGCGAGTTCCATTAGTGCCGTCGAACAATCCGTGACATTTTCGCTGGCTGCCTCGCGATCCGGTGAACGGTGCTCGTTACATCGCCGCAACTGTTTTTCAGAATATGAACCCACCCGCAGGGTGCACGACATCCGATCATTGTTACGAGCGAATTAATGCGTTCGATCCTATTTTCACGCGATTCATCTCAATTAACGGCTCGTCTCAATGGTTAACGTCGTGCACCCAGATCACAATTTACGCACGCTACGGGCTAATTAATCTAACAATGATAAAGAGACGTACGGGAGGCCGGGTTGTTTCTTTGTAATCCCATCGTTAGATCCTGCTGGAAGCCTAATGAGCTGAACTGAAATAAATGGCCTGCTACACGTGTGCACCAAAAAATTACACGCCACTATTCGTACGGATGTACACAGTTCTAACCGAGTCTCGGGAGGAGGAAGGAAAGTTAGTGGTATTTATAGATTGGGGAAAAGTCAGTCGAATCGAAAACATAGTTTGGGTTATTGAAAGAGACAACCGTAACGCGTTCATGGAACAGATCGATACGACGCGTATCGAAAATGAAATTCGATAAATATTATTTACGATGGGATATTCTGTTAAGCTATTCTTAGCGGGTAAATAGAATTGCAAATGTGTCTGTCGATCGAGGCGTCTAACCGGCCTGACAAGCATCGCGCAGGCAGCGGCGGGTCTACGAAATCGATATTAAAACAGACAATATTGCAGCCCAGTGAGTATAAACACAAAAAGTCAGAATGTATAGAGGAAACGGTCGACGCAGTCACGCATGACTATGTGGAAGGAGTAGCGGCTAACAACGAGAATGTGCGCCTGCGTGTTGAAGAATGAAAGAACGTATAGATGCACGTTCGCATCGGCCTCTGAGAAAATAGAAGGGGATGGGAACAGGGAACGCGTGTTAAAATAAAATAAAAAAACAAGCCTGCAAGTTTGTAAACGGAAACGGGGATGGGCAGTCGATGTACGCGCGCGTTCTTTCTCGAGGCATTCTCTATCGAACGGACTTATACATGATATGCCTTGTAATAGTACACTGAATCGAAGGTAAGAACTTTCGTTTGGAAATTAGAAATGTATATAAAATATATGGTAGAGAAAGAATACAGACACTTTTAAAAGTGTCGAGAATCACGTAGTAGAATACCGTGAAACCCATTCCTGTTGCTTTCCACGACTTTTAATATGCGGACGTAGCAATTTCAAGTGTGACGTGCCAACATTTCAACCGTGAGACGTCCAAGCGTCCGTCGATAAGCATTACATGATCGTTCGGTAATCGAACAAAACGAATTTCTTCCGTTTTAAATTAAAAGCTCGCCTGCGTAGCAATTTGTACTGTAAGCATTCGATGCGCGAAAGCGAAGTCTACAACATATGCAAACGTAACTCAAGTACATACACGGCAGTAAACTAGGAATGCCTAGCGCAACCTTCCAATGCACCAGCATTCCACGGAGGGTGTAATAGTCCCAACTCAATTACCCAGCTAGTACAATGCTTACTCAGGTTGATAATAGCAATTCGCGGTGCCGCGACGCGACGTACGACTACGAAACGCGTTCGATAGCTTAACGAAGTAGAATTCGCACTGCTGGTTCAAAAATATTGTCCCCACTCGTTTGTTTAGGAACGTAACAATTCTGTGGATTTAAGCATTTTTGGCAGCGAGTAACACGAGACGTTCTGTTGCACAAACCGTACTGTTCTGATCTTGTTCCTTAGGGATACACACGGACCATGCCAACATGCACAAATATACAATGTTTTCGAAATAAAAACATCAACATATGTACCGCGTCATTCTTTGAAAGCAATAGTGCCGCGGCACTTGCAACGGTCGCGTTGGTTGCACATACTAACAAACTTTTTTAACATCTGTTCGCCATAGAGTCGTTAAACTTTTCCCATGTAAAACGTGCCGGGGCACATACCGTATATTAAAATGAAGGATAAAAACGCTATCAGACAGGCTGTTCTATCGATGGATGAACAGAACGTATTATACTTTTTCAGTCAATCGAGCAGATGCACGCATCCCAATGGACGTTGGAACGCGTTTCATCAAGGCAATTTGCCTTTCTTCGACTCGAACTGCGGCCCGCGTGTAAATTTCGATTCTCACGCGGATAAAAATATTTTTATGAATTGTAAGAAAATAATTGGCTCGCGATTGGCACCAGGATGTCAAATGGAAAAGTTCGCTTTCTCCGAGAGCGAAAAGGGGAAAAAAAGAAGATGAAGAGATGTGCGAGTGAATGAATGCGAGACGCGAAAGAAGAGAAAGAGGAGATGAGGACGGGGAGTGAAGAGAGAAATGTGACAAGTGCGTGGTTGAGACTTACTGTTAAAAACGAGCAGCTTCCGCGTGGAGCCAAGCCTCTTGATGGGCGATTTCACACCGTCGATTTCTTCTTCGTCCATATCGCACTAACGGCAACGGCGTTTCAATCCCGAAGTCGAAATTCCGGCGAGGTTGTTGTTGTTCCGCGTTTTTACGCACGCACGGGCAAACAGTATCTACGGACGTGAGCACAAAATACTTGTCACAGTTTAAAGCATTCTCGGGTGCACGAGGAGGTCACCGCTTGATCGCGGTGAAACCGGTTTACCGGGCAGCGCGGATACTTTTCTACGATCTGCACTAGATGCGCTATCGACGGACACATGTGCCAGCCGTGCATGCGATTTCCAGCGTGATCGAACGGGCAGCGAGAAGGGGAGCGGAGGAAAAAAAACAGAAAGAAAATGCCAGTGCGAGCACGAGCGTACGCGGAACGAACGAGTGAGCGGCGGACCGTTTTATACAGAGCGACGCGTAGGAAACGAATAAACGATGCCACGAGTGAACGTAGCCGCGGCTGTAAGTTTCTGTAGTAACACCGATCGGTTTCTGGCTATCCCGAGGCACACTGAAGATATTCTTGGACTCCCGTATATTAATTCAAGTTTGGGGGACCGGCGTCGCTACCGCAGTCAGCGTCGCCGTCACCGTCACCGACGGTGTGTATGTAACATCGCCACTTGATCGCCACGCGCGTCACCTTTGTTGCTTAGCAACTGTTCACCCTGCTCTAACGTCACTTTACCGCTACCTCTCGGATTTCGTCGAAATACGGACACGAATTTTTACCTACCGAACCGAGGAAAGTATCTCCTCGGTATTTACCGGTGGTCGCATTGATAAATTAGTCTAAAAGAAATATTGTTTGAAAATACGTAACGTGAATTTACATAAATGTATAACTCACAAACCTCTCATTTTATTATGATCTCCCTATTCCTTAATTTTAGATATTTTTGCTTATACAATTATATATATGATCAGTTTCTATAGTAACAGAATGTAAACAAAAAGAATCACATTGGTCTCAGAGCTAAGCAGTCTCACTTATATTTGAAGTGACTGCATCTAATAAAGTGATAAAACTTTTTAAATAAGTCATAGTTATGCAGAGACCACAGACGAGTGTGCCACAAAGCAAGCTTGACAGATTTTACAGAGGACTAAAAAATGAGTCAGGAGAATTTTATATTCCTCCAGGGAGTACTCGTCCTGGTACACCTAGTCAAAATGTATTGGTAAGGCAACCATCATCATCCTTGGCTACGTTCAATCAGACGTCTGTAGGAACTTCACGATTGAGCACAATTAGCTCGAACAGTTCTGGAGCTCATAACTTGGGATTTTCCATGCCAGGTCAAATGAACATAAACGTTTTGGAAAGACCAATTACCCAACACGGGGTAGCTGGTATTAGACCAGGTACTGCTAGAGGATTGTCAATGACAAGGTATTTAAATCTTTATTTCTACATTTTAAATGCATCTACAAAATGAATTTATACTTACAGGCAAATCCAAGATAAGAGATATTACATTGGACTCATGCAATTGAAAATGAGAGAGTTGAATCAGGAAATGAATGTTATTATGAAAGACATTGAAGAGCAAAATAAAGAAAGAGCTACTTATACGCATTATGATAAGAGAGCTAAAGATTTAGCTACAGAGCTGACAGCTTTACAGGGACAACTGGCAGATTATAATATTGTGGTGGATAAAATGACATCTGATATTGGGAAAGAATATATTGAAGAAGAAATTGAAGAACTTGCAGCTAAGAATGAGCAAAACTTAGTGAAAATTGAAAACATGTTTGAGGAAAGAAAGAAGCTGGAGCAGAAGATGAATAAGATAGAGAAACAGTTGGAAGATGAAAGAAAGAGAACGGAGCGACTTATAGAGAATATGGATTCTGGTACGAGAGAGAAATATGAGGAGTTATTGAGAGAGAAAGTAAAATTACAAGAGAAAGCAAATGAAATGCAGCGAGAATTGGACGAGTTGTACAAGGAGCAACTTTATTTGGAAGAGGAAATAACATTGTCTCCTTTAAAGCAGGAGGCAGTTAAATTACATCTCAAGATAATAGAACTAGAGGAGAAGAGAGACAAGTTGAGAGAGGAAGAGAAGCACAGAATTTCTCCAGAAGAGGAAAAAGAAAATCTGTTGCAGAAAATAAGACAGGATAATATGGACATTGCAGCCGCGGAAGCTCAGTTGGCTGAGAAGAAGAAACGGATGCAGGAAACTGAACAAAATCTTGAGCAACTCGAAGCAGATTTAGAGGATACACAATCTGAAAAGCAAGTGAAATACAAAGAATTACGTAAACGAGAAGAGATGATCGAACAGTTTATGACTTCCTTCGACGAAAATAAAGACGATGAAACGAAAAAATTGTATAAATTAGAAAACACTGTAGTCAAATATCTGGAGAATATTTCAAGTGTGTTAAACATCGACATCGATTTTGCAGGAAACGATGAAATGGCTTTAATAAACAGTTTCCCAGCTTTCAATGACGAGTATACGAACAGTGATAAAAGTTTTGAGAGATTGACGAAAGAGAATTTAAAACTACAACAAATTCTTAGTGAAATGGAGATACTAGAGGAGAAGCTTAAAAGCGAATTCACTGATCTTAATGAAAAAATGCGTGACAAAGAGAACGAGTTCGTAACTTCTGATCTGGATAGTGTAAAGGCTAAATTAGCTATGAAACAATCGCAATTGATAGCGGAATGTGAACAGTTGAAAGAACAGGAACTAGCACATGAAGAAGAATTTAAAACGATTCAGTCTAAATATAATGAAATAAAACAACGATTGGAACATTATGACGTATATGCAGAGATCAATATGTTACAGAATACTATGGAGAAATTAATTCAAGAACATAAAAAGGTTGAAGATTTTATCGTTAAAGAAAAAGAACGCGCTAATTACAGTCCAATAAAAAAAGATACCTTTGGCTTAATAAATACTTATAACTCCATGTTAAAAGAAAATTTAAAGACCGTTTATTAATTAGTTTTTTGCACAATTTCGTTTCCTTCTATTTTGTCAACTATCACTGGTGGAACAGGGTATTTATTAGATTTTAGAATTTTAGTAGAATTCTTTTGTAAAGACTTATCGATTTTTATATTCTTTTCCTTCATTTGTTTCTCTAATTCCATAGCATGCTCATAATCACCTCGATTTTCTGTGTATGAAAATAAATTAAATGAATATTTCTTATGTCTACTTGTTATATAGTGTATGTATGTCACATAGTAACAAAACTGACTTACCACATATACATAAAACTGTATTACATAAAAATTCCGGAGATATTTGTGATTTATTGTCAAGTACTTTTAAAATTACTAATGTACTTTTCATAACATCATCGTTTGTTAAATACGCAAATTGTCGTGATATAAGAAAATCTTGTATAACAGACGTCTGAAAAATTAATTTCACGCGCGACTGTAGTATTGATTTAAAAAAAGTACAAGTTACAACTATTACTGACGTAATTACCTTTAATAAATCTTTTACTTCTAGCACTTTATCACACAGAGCAAATGCTATCAAAAGATTTACATCAGCTATTCTTTTTCCATGAACTTTCTTTATGAGTTCGTAGACTTTCTCCACTAGGCAATCACAGTCAGATTTCATAGACGGGTTTGAACTTAATTTCATTAATTCTACTAAAACTTCTTGCTTTGCTGGCGTTTTATTAAAATCCTTAACGCAGCTTGTGAATAATGCTATTGCAAGTTCTATATTACCTCTTAATAACTGAGTCATAATTAAATACCTGAACACATACAGCGTATCGGTATAATATCCTCTGTTAACGAGACTAGTAGCCATTGCAGACGTGTGATCAGAATTGTTTTGTATCATCAGGAACAGTAAATCATCAATCTGTGTATGTGCGTCCGGTTTATGATTTACCGAAGTACACTTATTTATTATATCAAGAGCGTCGTCTATTCTACCTAATTTCACTAATAATATCGCGCAACGTAGAACTTTGAAGTTATCAATTGTACAATCTTTAAATTTAGATTGGATTTCAGTCAGCTCGGATAAAGCTTCCTCGATCTTTCCATTCTTCACGTAATGATCAAACAGATTCAATCTCATACCCGCCGTCCAATCGAACTTACATGTGTTCATCTCTTGCGTAAGTTGATTTACTAATTCGACTTGATTATGATGACAAGCTGCCATGAACAATCTTCGTAAGGTACCTCGATGATTTTTAGATTTCGCCTTAAGTTCATCGAAGTGCGCGCGTAACTGATCCAGATTCATATACTGCGGATGAATGTATGCTTTAGTATTGCAATTATCCGTTACATCTTGCTTGATGTTAGAGATTAAGAGTAACAATTGTTTTTTAAAATCCTTGGTAAGATCGAGATTTAAAATTTCGCGTTCTATGTACTTTGCATCGACGATAGATATTATTGCTTTATAATGTTTCGATGCGATTAAAAATTTGTATAAATCATCAATGATCTCTGGTTTATTGGAGTCCTTTAAGAATTTGTTTATAAACATTGCAGTGAAACCATAACCGTTGTAAGTTATATGAAATAAGAAATTTATACAGATATCAATATTACTCGTCTCTCTATAATATTCATACAATGACTGTAATATAGGCTGACAGTCTATTTTCTTTCTGAACACTGTACATAGATGCATGCTATCTGCCAATTTACCTGAATCTATTAAATACTTTGCAAGTGGTTCTATTAAATTACCCGATTTAACACCGTGATTACACAATCTTCTAGCTTCAGTACAAGCATTTCTAAGGTCGATACATGGAAATACGTAATTTACAAGTGTCTCAGTATCAATTTCAACATCTAATGTATGCATCCATTTTAACACAGGATATATGTCACGTTTAAAATTTTGTTTTTGAATGTATAAAAATAGAGGATGAAAATATTCCGCTTTAAGAGTGACTCCCATTGCCTTCATTTCATCGAGTATTTTAAAAGCCAGTTCCTCGCCGTTTTGTTCCACAGCCAATTCAATCACTTTGTTCCAAATGTTTGGATATGAATAATTTTCTTTTATACTGTTGACAATTTTTTTGACCGTGTTTCGATTCTTGTTGGCTTTAATAATTGTCTCTAAAAATTGTGACAGCAACGCTTTCCTTGCGTCTTCAAGTTTTTCATCTAGAGGAACACGAGTAACTATTTCATACGCATCCAAAACATGATCTGCATGTATAAGCTGGAGGACGGTGTTAATGAAATCTTCTCTTTTAACAGTTACAGACTGGATATGATTTAAAACAGTTGGTATATGCATTCCATTTTTTGATAAACTGAGATGCTTAACAAGATTCATAATATGAGGTACAGGCAGCACAGTGTTCTTTAAAGCATCAGTTAAGGCTCCAATATCACCATTTCTTGCATAAGCATACATTAAATTAGTTTCAAGTGAAGGCAACCCTTCGACATTTTTTTCTTCCATTAACTGTGCGATTCTAATAATTTTTTCCACGTTTCCACTCATAGCATAGGCATGCATCAATGCATTGCAAATTTTTTGATCAATGGGCAGACTGTTCTGTTCTAACTTTGATAGAATAGAATCAGCGAATCCAGAATTGTCTGTGCTCGGTACTCTCAATAATAAAGAATACGTATCACATTCTGGTTTGACGGTCATGTCCTCCAAAAATTGATTCTGGTCAATCATCTGATCATTATCAATGTAGGATTGTAACAAAGCGTGATAATGATTTATCGTTAGCTGGCATTTCGCTCTCTTCAAAAGATTCCAAACACGATTTACCAATTCCTGGCGTATGTTTAGTGGCTCATTTTTTAGCATGCTTCCACATGAATACAAGAGCATCAGACTTGATATTTCTGTTATACTGCTATCGTTCTTTTCGAAATCATCAATGATAGATATCACTAAATTTAATGATACATCATTGCTGTCAACACTTGCGTTCACTGTCAATATCTTCGTTTTATGATCTTCAACAATATTTCCATCGACGGTGCTACTCAGGCTTCTAGTATTTACATTAAATTTATTTACATATGGATTTGCTATACAATAAGAATGAGCAACACAGTTTTTATGCAGGTTAGATGTACGAAACATCAAATCGTTCGTAAGAATAGCCGTGCAAGCCATTCTTGTTCTAAACAATACATTATACCTCCTAGACAGCATCATCTTAGTTTAGTTTATTTACACGTATTTAAAAATAATAAACATGTGTTTCGAATATTCGAGGTTACTTGAAAACTAAGTAGAATTGTTATCCCTTGTTGAGCCTCACAATCATTGAATGGTGATCAACGTTTGAAAACATTATTTACTTATTAGCTTGTTAAATACGTATTATACACATATTAAACAATCCTTGTTTAAAACGTTATAGGAACTAACTTCAAGCTAGACTTGCTAGACTCTTAGTATAGTATACGCTCTTAAATTATGTATGTGTTAGTGACTGATCACGTGGATGGCTATATGTGTTATATGAATGAAATCAGTATACACGTAGCAATGGATAAAATAAAACAACTCCTAAATACACGATCGCAACCCAACAGTCTGCGACGCTTCCTTTTTTATATTTATACGTATGCATATATTATCTACGTGAAGATCACCCATAGCGCAGAGGATCAAGAAAGTATAAAAGAAGCAGGAGAAATCGTTGCCACCGTATAAGATTATTTTGCACATTTTACTATAGAATTATTGTATTAAAATGACAAATCATTTCATAAACATCGAATCCTAAATCGACAAACAGAAGAACGACACCCTAATCTACTCTGCCTGAATATCTTAATCTGAACGATCGAAAGGCGATGCTTTAAGAAAGTGATCAAGTTTTATTAATTCTGCATCGCAAATAAAATTTGTTCGCATACAACCGATTACGTTGAAGAAGGCATTAGAGACAGGGAAGCAAGACTAAAAATCGAGACATTCGAATGTTTTTTACATACCTCAATATTTCTGTTCGTGGTGTCCAAGAAACTACCGGTGTCCGATTTTTAATTACGGATTCTTCAAAAACATGTTCACTAGTTCATACAGAAATTGATATATTTGTTCTTAATATTTATTCGTACTCATTGATGTTCGAACGAAACGTGAAATGTATTTTAATGCAACGGAAAAAGAAATTATAACCGGTAAAAAGACACTTCGCCAATTTATACGAACGAATCCTAACTACATGCGCATCGAGGCACTGGCAGCTACTGGCAGCACGAACTGTACGCTAGTGACACCTAGCGAAGGCGTACAATAAAATTGCGCGATCATTCAAATTTATTCATGTAATCGTGGGGACAGCGCATGAGGCCCAATGGAGCTCAAAACACAGTTAGAAGGAAATTGTATAGGACCCCTTCAGTAATCTCTCCTCAGAGAGAAGACTATGAAGGATTGTACAAGCTAAACCATGCAAAGTATGATTCTTCTTATAATAAATAAAATACATGTAGCACTTGAAATTTTATTCGAAGTGCTGGGATAATTTGAGGAAACGATTGTCTTTTAAATATTGTTATTTGCGGCCGTTACAAACAAATATGCTTTTTAAAATTTTTTCTCTCAGTTTCAATCAGAAATGGTTTATAAATGAAATTATCGACTACACACTTTCAATGATCAATAAATACGCTGAATATAATACTGCACACACGTAACACGCAAACTAGATAATAAATATGTTTATGAAATTGTAATAAATATTGAATAAATAAATGTTTGAAAACCACACGCACAACACACGGTATAAATAATGACAAACCAATTTAACGAAGTATGATTATAGACGATGAAAATGATAATATAATATTACGATCTAAATGATTAATATATATAAAAAGTTAATTAGAGTACTCATACACTACCTTAACAAATTAATATTTTCTTCCAGTATAGAAGATACTGTATTTAAAATACGTTTACTATCTTGTAGCTACAAATAAAGTGCAGTGACTCTGCATTACAAATACTTTAAATTAAATTTCAATAAAATTAATTTCTTATTTATTTAGACTAGATTTAGGGACCACGGACTGAGATCATCTACTCTACTAAGTTTCTAAAATTAAAAGATCAAAATTGCACGATAAAATATAAGACTCTGCAACGCGTGTTAAGCACGGTAGAATTTGTAGTTTGCGATCAAACGCTGATTTTGGTCATTGCTCTATTTCGGAACCGATTGAATTGAACTGTTCGAGTTAGTGCCCGTGGATTCATTGACTAGATATCACTCTTAAATATATAATTTTTGGCATAAATTATATGTGGTGTACCTTATTACTTAAAGACTAAATATGTCGACTAGAATTCGTTGTAGCTTCTGATTAAATTAATTCTTATGTTATCGCAAGTTAAACCAAAGTACGTATACAGATTTAACACATCGACCGAAGTCGATATGTTTGGACTAGATGCTCCAAATAAAATTAAAATTGTACTTTCAGGTGTTAAAAAGAAGTGTAAGTTAACTCATAAAATTATTCTCTTAATTATTAAACACAGCCGCGTAATACTTCGCCGGGTCAGAGCGTTTTCATTTTTTGCACTAAATCATTACACTTCTTTCGATTTAAAATGATTAAGGAATGGATAATATATTTTAGCCTTAAGAAATAAATAGCTACCGCTAGGGACACTTTTATAAATTATGTTAATAAAATTCTAGCAAATCGTACGAATTTCCAAAAAAAGTTATATCTTCGTTAACTTTCTGAGTCTAATTGTAAGTCTGTACTGCGAAAATTTAATTAGTATTTAAAGTTTATTTTCAAACATCTCTGTGGAAACTAGTACGATTTTCATATTAATATAATCACTGGCACATTTCCCGAAATAAATAGAAAAAGAGATCATACATTCAATACGTTCACTAAATTAATTAATTATGAATAAGGTATTCTAACGCGTATGACTAGACACTATCTAAACGCTTGTAATTTCATATTGATTTCCTTAAATCGATTCTTTTCTCGACTCGTACTGAAAGCGAATATTTATTACGTATCTAAATGATTCGACGAATTTCATTTTTATGGCAGCGTATACACGGATATTTATTTTGCAATGTAAGAATTCAAGCAAATTAATGGCACGCGACATAATTTGAAAATTTTCAAGAATTGCATATACTTGTGGCCTGCATATTCTTCCTAGAATATGAATCGACAGGTACTTATGTTACTTATTCAATATGCAAACCTGATGACTAGAGGTATGGCTGACTAGAAACAAAAGCCTAAACGAAAGTATGGGTACACACAGCCCCGTTGATGCTGCACGAAATTAAATTATAGTACGTATCCTTTTGCTTCTTTAGATTCTAATAATCGGGGTTCAATCTGTTTCTAAGCTGAAATCCGTGGCACCAATTGGATCGGCGAACGATGACTAGATTCTGTTATTTACTGACTAGACAAGTTACTTAATATGACTTTTCGACTAGATCGCGACTAGATTCTTCCTTTGACTAGATTCTACATTTTGATTTTGCACTGAACATTAAATTCGTATCACTCCTTGACTAGATCATTATTAATCTCAAATTAAATATTAAGTATTGTCGTTCCTTTACATACTTCCCTTTTCTTAGTTTAAACGCAAGATGAATAAACCGAAAAGTGAAAAATTACTTGAAGTCTCACTATGCTCCCTTAAATGAATAGGTCTTAATTAAATCCGTTGCTCGGTGTCCGATACATCTTCGAAGGATAACTTAATAAGTACTCGACTATTGAAATCTTAAACGCAAGTATGACTAGGACTATCTCTATAAATTATACAGTAGAATTAGGACTGATTTAAAAGTATATTTACAATGCCAATAATCAATCGTTGGAACTGACACAGAAATAATATACTCAATATAATATATTGATGAGACATTAATTTAAAATAATCTGCGTACCAATAGCGTCAAATCTTCATCCAGTGAAAGAGGGTGACAGTTTTTGTTGCGAGATGAGTCCAGGTAAATCGTATGGATTCCATCGTAGATGATATGATATGATATGAATTACTTGCATAGGTCCAGGTTGTTCTCTCATTATGAATCTTCTCATTTTTCATGGTATTGAATACTGTTTACCGAGCGTGCTACTCTGTACGTCATTTGGTTGCACCAATTGACTACTGGCCAGTTTCGAAGTGGCTTCTCGTCCACCGAGCACGTGAGTAGCGTTGTACTTTTAGCATCAGTACTCTACGTCTCTCTTTTCGTACAGATTATAAATATCGTATGTACAGATTTATTTACACAAGCCCTTGATGACTGAGGGCTTCGCTTTCCCATTACCGATTTCGACGACGTTGACAATCCATCGTTCCAATATTTCAAGAATAGAATTTTCCGACCGGTTGATAATCGCATCTGACGGACGTGATCGCAGTGTTTCCTTGATCTTGCCTCCTTCGATGATCGTTAACAGGCACCATGTTCGAACGTATATTGTTTTTTGTATTGTACTCACAGTGGCAGTGGTAATTTCAGTGTTTGGCTGGCTCAGCGAATTCTGTTTTTCTGTGATTCGTATTTCCAGTTTCCTCGCTCTGTTTCCCAACTCAATCTGGCCGGGTTGACGTCTCGGGTCCTGATCTCGGCTCGAACAATTGCTTCGGCGATTTCAATACAACGTGTCGAATCGGTCGGGGGGGGAAAGCGGAGCAGACGGTCGTAGACCCTCGGAGATTGGATAGACGTTGAACCAAGGAAACGTCGAAGGGTAAAGAAAAGAAGATTGCAAGGAAGGCGGTGGGGGCAATGGGAAAAAGAAAGGAAAACGAGGAGAAAATTCTCCGAGGGCTACGCAAGCGCATATACTCGCTCGACTCTGCTCGCAGACTAATCTAAAACTCCGTTCGCTGCGCTCCAAGATGCATATTTCCCCTACCCTCCGACACGGCATTCCCCACCGAGCGGCACCTTTGAGGTGCATAAGTTGGCACGTGCCCCACTTCCACGTTTCCGTTTCGCTGTGTGTAGCTCGTCGTTCCCCACCTTTACGACCCTACCCTACGGGAACGCTCCCCGGCTACGATTCCGGTCTGGGATTCGCGCTGCCTGCCCCACCATGTATCCCATTTCCAAGATTTTACCCCTGATGGTCACGCGTTTGCGCACCAGTAGGGGCTGTAACGCCGTAGTGGTAGAAAGCTGGGGTTTTGCTCTCGTGTGCTACGAGAGCATGCCTCGGGGCACCACGTGCAGCTCCTATGCTGATGCATATGAAATGTCTTTCCTTCGACGCTTCGTTCAGTCTCATACTATCGTTAAAAATATGCAAGAAGAGATTCCTTATACTTTTATTTTAGCGTATATCTAACATAATTTTGAAATCTGGATAACGTATGCTTCCTACGTACAAGATTGATCAGAAATACCATTCGAAATAAATAATTATTTACTTAGAGAGAGAGAGAGAGAGAGATGATTGAAAGAAAT